CATATCACTCAGTGTCTCTAACCATCAGTGACCATCATCCCGAGGTCCCCAGCCTAACGGGGCCTATGTGACCTAGTCTCCCGGTTAGGGTTTTCATACCCTCATGCCAGGTCTTATTTTGACCACCCTTCTTTTTTTCAATCGCTACCAGCCTTGGCAAACATCGTTCGCCGTGGCAACCTATCTGGTGACATGCGTAGCACATGTCCCAACTAGCGTTATATATTACCGTTGATTCAACATTCTATGTATGTTACTTTTTCATATGCAAATGAAGCCATTTGCACAGGAATACTAGACGTAAATGTGTGATGAGCGACGAGAACCATGCAACCGATTGTGCTCAAAGAGAGTGGCGGCGGTCAATTGGTCAAGATCATTAAAGCGAAGACCTGGGGTTCATCATCGTCGTACAGAGAAATACAGTGAAGCAAACTTCACGATTTTCGCAGTCGTTGCGATATTCTTCCTTGAAAATGAGAATGATCAGTGATTCGCCCCAAGATGAAGGACCTAGGGGTCAAGAATTGTAACCCTGTCGACCCCACCGACCTCCCCATTTTGTATTTCCCCAAGTAACCTCTGTATGGTTGCGACCCTGTTGCTGTAAGTTGACTGTACAGTTGTATGATCAATAAACAGGCAAGAAAGCAGAAGTTTATTTAAAAACTTTACTTAGCTATTTGTGCATCAGTGATTATTAAACTTTCATGAAACATTCATGTACTAATGAGCATCCCATAACTTGCCTCATTTGATTCTACACTGAATCCATCAAGGACGTGTGCGAGTCGAGCAACCGAAGTGGGTTGTGGAGGATCCAGCTGCCATACGAATCGCAACGGGGGTTCAATGCCACTCATAGACAGTGGTGAGATCCGATCATGTATTGTTCTATTCTGTTCTACGTTGTTATTAGTCGGTGTGGGACGTAGAAACCAACCGCCGCGATCTGTGGTGCCTGAAGTGGCGATTCCTTCGACCCATAAGGGAGCTGAACCACAGCTGCGCGCGGATTCGCCTGAACGACATGCAATAAGGAAACGTTCCTCCTCGGATTGTGTTTTTCCATGGTCACCAGACGATGATTGCGAGCCCCCCATAACGCTATCAAGAGGGCATCCAATCTGTACACCGGATAATGTGATCACGTTTATTGTACAGCTGGTTTCTGAGGCGATTTCGGAAGCACGTCGATACCTTAGCGAGGGTTCAACGTCTGACTACGAGAATGATAGCTGGGCAACGGGGGAAAAGCTATGAACAGCGGCTCCGAGATTTAAATCTGTTCCCCTCAAACGGAGGCGGATGAGAGGAGACAGGGTAATTCCGTTATGGAACCGGTTGCCGCTATCATGGATAAGCTGCAGTACTGTAGATGCATTTAAAAAGGCACTTGATGAGTTTTGGATAGGGGTTTTTCCTGAGGTAAGCGTTTAGTACCATCTATAACCTAACCACAAAAGATGTGATACTGCACCACACTATTTTGTGTTTCAGAAAAATTGCACATCGAAGTGTTGGAAACAAAGGAAACTCGCCGACAACACAAATCTGGGCGCTCGATTGGCAAGGGCCACAAATCGTCCTGTGAAAACTGAACTGAACTGAGACCGTGCAGTTCGAAATTTTGACGTGGGGAGTCCTTGGATCATATAAGTCGCAAACCCAAGGAATGAGTAGGCAATTCCGTGATGTAGGAACTGGGAAAAAGGTCTTAAAAATTTGGCAAAGGAAAACTCACAAGGTGAGCTTACGTCGTACTGTGTATCCTGGCGGGATTCAATTGACCTAGAGCTCAACACCAGCGGTTTTCTACCTCTATCGTAAGGAACCTTGTATATTCTAAATTTTAAGCGTACATTAACAAAGGCTTTGTCTTAACAGCGTCCTCAGTTTACTCTTAATATTCTATCTGCTCATTTTTTAATCTCTTTTTAAAATTTCAACCTAGTTTAATGATTGATCTGGGACGTTACCAGTTTGGCATGGGCGCCAGCACAAGGCCCTCCATGGGGAAATACAAGGCAGATATGGGAACCCAGGAGTATCCGTGCGGGAAGGTAAGCTGCACTGCAGAAGCTTGTGACCGAGGCATAGGCTGTGACACTTGCAGCACCTGGTATCACCCAAAATGCATTGGTCCAGGTGTATATATAAACGCCTGTGATTCCCTTACCAAATGTGATTCGTGTCCAGTGGACCACAGGAAATATATCGCGAGCATTTCCTGACAGACCGACTTTTGACACTCAGGTCGCAATGTCAGAGTGACACCCGATGATCAGCATGGTAGGAGATTGAAGCAGAAACCATCACGTGGGTGGCACAAGCGCATCGAGCGAGGATGGTTCTGCCCAAGCTGGCCAGGGAACCTCCAACTACACACAAGGGCCCAGGAAAATGCTAGCCCTGACGAACCAAAACCGTCATATAGGGAGGTTCTGTTGAGAATACCCTAAGAAAAAGGATCCGACAGATCAAAACAGGGTAGGAAACCTGACTCATTTGGGGGGACGAACAAAAAGGCTACGATCAAGGAAAAACAGGCCCAAAATAACGGGGCACAAGCTCGGGAGTGAATCCCGAGGAGCCGCTCTCTCTTAGTGGAATACCGAACACTAGAGGAGTCCCACTGCACATTGCATATACAAATGCGTGTAGCGTGGGAAACAAACTGTTGGAGCTTAGAGTGGAAACAGGGAAATGTGATGCGGTGGCTATCACAGAAACCTGACTCCGGCCAGAAAAAGACACCAAGCACCACTGCCCGCCAGCCTTCTGCGATTATCGCACTGATAAGACTGATATCAGGACAGGTGAGGCACGCTGTAGTGTCTTGCTTTTCTATCCACTTTTATCTGACATGATTGTGCAGCTTGTTTTAATATGCACAACACCTAAGACACAATACAAATTCTGTTCGTAACTACGCACGTGTTCTGTTTAACAACTTAAATCTTTTTTGGGTTTGATGTATTACTATCGTCGTTTTATCCCCAATTGTTCCGCCATACTTCATCCTCTCACTTATTTGCTCCACGGTAATGCAAAACACGTTGTCTACACTCCTGAGGCGCTTAAAGCGTTTGAAACCGCCAAATCAGCCCTCCAGGACGCCACCATGTTGTTTCACCTTAATTCATCTTCGTCTACTCAACTGGTGCTGCATACCAACGCGTTGAATCATGCCGTTGGAGCGGCACTCCATCAATTAGTCGAAAATGTCCAGCAGCCCTTGGCTTTCTATTCACAGAAGCTTGCCCCAGCCCAAACTAATTACAGCACCTTTGGTCGCGAATCACTGGCAGTACACCTTGCCATACGACATTTTCGTTACTTCCTCGAAGGTCGTCAATTCATCATCATGACAAACCATAAACCACTGGTGTTTGTTTTCCGTGCACGTTCTGATCGCTACTCTCCACACGAAATTCGTCACCTGGATTTCATCTCTCACTTTTCCACCGATATTCGACACATCAACGGATCGGACAACACCGACCAGACGCTCTCTCTCGGCTCAACATCAACACTATGGGTACACCACTCGATATCAGCCTTGAGAGTATTTCTCAACATCAATCCAGTGACCCTCATTTCGGAGATCTACTCAAATCCACCTCAATACGTTGCACGCAAGTTCCTCTTCCGCATTCTACATCCACCATTTTCTGTGATACTTCCTCTGAACACCCTCAACCCATTTTACCGTATAGTATGGTTCAACCCATTTTTACGCATTGTCATTCATTTTCACACCCCATTGTTCGCTCTACTTTACGTCTCATTGCCGATCGTTACTTTTGGCCCAATATGAACAAAGACGTCCGGCATTGGGAAAAATCTTCTTTACAGTGCCAACAAAATAAGATTCACCGCCACACTCTTTCTTCCCCAGGTCATTTCTCCGTCCCAGACATTCGTTTTTCTCATGTTCACGTTAACCTTGTTGGTCCAATTCCCACTTCACATGGTAAGACATATCTGTTAACGTGTGCCGACCAGTTCACACGTTGGCCTATGGCCGTTCTCCTGGCAGACATTTCCTCTGAGTCCGTCGCATAACATTTCCTGTCACACTGAATTTCCCATTACGGTGTTCCCAACACTGTAACCACTGACAGAGGCGCTCAATTCCAATCTGCACTCTTTCGTGATTTTACGCGGCTGCTTGGTTGCGAAAACATTCGCACAACCGCTTACCACACCGCAGCAAACGGTTTAGTTGAACGTTTTCACCGATAACTCAAAGCCTCACTTCGCGCTCATGAAGATCTTCGCTGGACCGAACGTCTTCCACTCACTCTATTGAGCATTCGCTCTGTCATCAAATAAGATCTCGGATGTACGGTGGCAGATTTGGTTTACGGAACTATCCTTCGTCTACCCGGTGATTTGCTTTAATCCCCACCGTCAACCCCTGTTTCTCCATCGACGTTTGCCTATAGATTTTGAGACCATATGGTGCACACAAAACCAACTCCAACACGCCAACACAAGTGGACTGCAAAAGTGCCCGATGATTTGCACACGTGTAGCCGCGTTTTCATTCTCTGCGACGCTACACGTCGTCCACTCCAAGCACCATACACCGGGCCATACGAAAGTAATTTTGTGTTCCGACAATCCTTTTGTTTTGGACCGCAAGGGAACGCATGACTCGATAAGCATCGATCGTTTAAAACCCGCGTATCTCGATTCATCTTTCGATTTACCCATCACACTGTCTCCACGTGTTGTTCCTTCACCAGTTATACCCGATCAGACACGACACACTTCTCCAACCATCCCACCTTTTCCACGCGTATTAACACCTACAACCGTTCCCCGTACAACACGTCTTGGCAGAAGAGTACACTTTCCTGCCCGTTTTTTTAACAGTAACTCTTACTCTCACCTTTATCGAGTATACAGTTTGCACTTTTACTCTAGAAGGGGGTACTGTAGTGTCTTACTTTTCTATCCACTTTTATCTGACATGATTGTACAGCTTGTTTTAATATGCACAACACCTAAGACACAATACAAATTCTGTTCGTAACTACGCACGTGTTCTCCGAGTGTTGCGGAAGCATTACGCAATCATTATCAGTTATCGTCAAGCGGTCCGTTGTCTGTCGCAGTCATCCATTTCAGCTCCACTGCACCCCATCGACCGGAGCCAGACATCTGAAGAACAGGATCAATCAACCAGCCGAACAATCCTTCTGTGAGTCCGTTTATTTCATTATCATTCTTAAATGTAGTATCTTTTCCGCTACAACCCTCATACTAGTGACACAGCACCTTCACCTGAGACAGAGGGGGAGCTCGCGGTGTCAATGCCAAACATCCAGGTTCCCGGCAGTGTGGTGAGCGTCGGACACACCAGTCTGATCAAGGTTAGCGTTTACAGAAGCCCATCATCCATGGCCAGCGAGGATGATGCGCTGGTACTCACGCTACGAACGGCAGCTGAGCACAACGGGAAACTACTGATACTCGGGGATTTTAACACCCGCGAGATACACTAGAGTGGAGAAAGTGCCCCGTCGGCTTCCTTCGGCTCTGCGATACTGAACCTGCTGCACGATGAAGCCCTCGTGAAACACGTAATGGTAGATACGCGATGGCGCAATGGTAGCAGACCCACCAGATGAGACCAGGCAAACTATAGAGAATATTCAGGTAATGGCCTTACTGGGTAAGAGCAACCACGCGCTAATTCACATTACCATGTCTTTCCGAGATTTGACAGCGCCGATAATAGGATGAGAAACTAGGGGGAATGAACCTAGCGCAGCTCGTAAGGAGTGCGACTTCCATGTCATGGAACCTGGACCCCAGTGAGCCGTTAGAGGAGAGCTGAAACCTAGTAAAGTCCAACTTTCTACAACTCGCGAATAATTATGCTCTGCTGAAAAATATCAGGAGAAACAAAAAGCCTCCGTGGTGAAAGGCGTGAGTGCAAAAGTCCAAGGCTCGTAAACAACGAGCCTGGGGAAAACTGATAGCCTCAGGCGGCCAACGCCGATTCCAAGAATACGACCAAATGCGCAAGCGCGCATTGACGGTCTAACAAATGTGCAGGATGGCATATGAAAAAAACTAGCGAGGAACA